GGGAAGACTCACTATCCACGGTATTCCAGCTTACGCTACGTACTAGCGGCAAGTACTGCAAAGTTACGGTTTCGGGTATCCGTAATTCACTGATGTCCATTCGGGTCATCTGTATTTTGCTTTAGCTATGTTACTGTGAACTCCGCTCCCCCATCTAATAGTGGTTTGCCCCTAGGACCTCTCCGGATCTACATCTCTAGATCGTGATATTGTTGTTCACCTAAATAGAAACACATACCCACGTCTCCCTTGATTAGTCTAGTATCCTATACGAGAAAGATTAAAGACCATCACCAGCAGTTAATAGTACGCGATGAGTCGAGCTCACCCGAGGCCTGTTCCTAGACCTGCTAGTCCGATTATCAATCTGCATACACACAACTCTTACACCAGCTCGGTACCTCCCCATGACACCTGGCCTGTGTCAGTGTAAATTGTCTGCACGTGTTTGGACGCGAATGATGATGACTGTGGAACGCAAAGATACTTGTTCAGCAGACTTGGACCATCACAGACGCCCTTTTTGTACACCACAACGCACGCACACACGCACACACACCTCCTCACACACACACACACACACACACACACACACACACACACACACGCACACACGCCCACCGTCGGCTGCTGCTTGGTGAATGTCAGAGCCAGAGGTTGTCTTGACTGAAGGCACCATGGCAAACTCAAGCAGGAGCTGCGCACTGTCGACGTTGCCGGACTGCGACCGCATATAGTTGATGTATGCGTTCTCCTCCCCGCAGTCGCCCCACAGGTCCGAGTTGTCCTTGTACATGCCTTCAAAGTCTGCTGCAGAGACACTCAGCGGGTGCTCGCTTGCACCGACATATGTCACGGCAGTCATTGTCGCCGTCGTTGTGCTTCCACTGCCACCACCGTCACTGGTGTCACTGCTGACACCACCGCTCCTGCTCCTGGCGATGTTGCGCCGAATCGCAGCTGCCAAGTCCTTGTCTGCCAGCACAGACCCAGCCAGAGCCAGGACCACCACCAGACCCGCAACCACAAGCAGCGGGCGGCATCTCGTTGGTGGCATTCTCATACGTTTCCCCTTTCGCTTACTTCTCCTATCCCACTTCGCTGTACACTGAGTACTTCTTTGTCCCTGCATATTCCCTCCCTCTCCCTTTGCCTCCCCTTGCTTGCCTTGCCTCCCTGCCTTCCCTCTCCCCTTGAAGTCCTTCGTCGTTCCAGTCGCGAGTGCATGCATTCAGTGCTCCATCCATCCGCCCACACAACGTTTCCGGACTTTTGTTTGCGTTTGCGTGGGTGTATGTTTCGCTGTTCCTCTCATTTGTGGGCTTAGTGCGCATTTTATTGCTGCGGTGGATACAACATCAGGCTTGGCAACTGCGGCTGGCAAAACCGAAACAAGCAACCAGACACCCAAGATACACAACAGCAAACACACACACACACACACACCACACACACAGCTGTGCCGTTGTGCAGGGTTGCCTGGCTGGCTTGAAGCTGCTGTGAACACGCAGCTGTCGACAAGAGGAAGAGCAGGCAGCAAAAGTACCGTAAGCTGGCGATAGCGCGAGAGCGAGCGCGCAAACAGCACGCGCACAAACAGCTGAGCACAAGCACACACACACACACACACACAAACACACACACACACACACAAGCCATGGCGGACGTTGCGAGGCCGCACCGGCCAAACAACGACCCTTACGTCGGTGACGACGAGGACCTGCATTCAGATGAGTACACTGGCGGAGGTGACAACGCTGGTTCAGGCGAAGATCCGTACGCTGACGCCTATGATGAGGGCGATGACTATGACGATGACGAAGACTTTGATGATGATGATCTGCCGCCAGACCACCCAGCGCTGCAGCGCGTGCAAGAGGCGCTGCGTAGGCAGCTGACATCGCGCCTGCAAGAGGTCACCGAGGAGCTCCAGGAGAAGTCCCAGAAGCTCAAGACAAGCAAGACAGAGCGAGAGGAGGTTGGCGTTCAGCTGTACAGCGTGCAGCAGCAGTTGGCAAAGCTGCAGGCCGAGTTGGAGAAGACACAGGACGAATGCAACCGTCTGCTGCAAGATCGCGAGCAGGAGGAGATGCTGCTCTCCCAGGTGCGACTGAGTTCTTTTTTATGTGTGTATGTGAGAGTGAGCGAGTGGGTGCATGTGCGTGTGTGCGTGTGCGTGTGCGTGTGTGCGTGTGCGTGTACGACGGCGTTCGTGTGTACTCGCCTTGCTTGCTCTCTTGCTTGCTTGTTTGGCACGCTTCCGTGTTGTACATGCACCTCATGGCTGCTCAATATCTCTCTATTTCCCCACATGTTGTCGATAGGTGAAAGCGAAGCATGCAGAGCATGAACAAGCCTTGAAAGAACAGAGCAAGGAGGGCGATGCCATTCAGCGCGAATACGATGAGCTCAGCCGCAAGGTGCGTGTGTCTGTGTGTCTGTGTCTGTCTGTGTGTGTGTGTGTGTGTGTGTGTGTTTCGGGAAAGGGGGATGCTTTGTCATTGTGGCGAACGAGTCATGAGCTGTGGCCCGGGAACCCACAGAGCGTGCGTGACTCTCTACCCCTCTGCACCTTGGCTGGTGACCTCGTTGTCTGGCCTGCTTGCTCACCGTTATTTCTTTGTCTGACCTCTGGCCTGTCACGCAACCACGCGTGACCACCACACAACACACAACACACAACACACACACGCACACACACGTGCCCGCCGCTGCAGGTGCTGCTGTTTGAGAAGCACGCTGAGGAGCTTGAGGCGAAGGTGAAGGGGGCCAAGCGAGCAGCGGGGAAGGCAACGAAGGAGCAGACCAAGATGGAGGAGGAGAAACAGAAGCAGGACGAGTACGTCGACCGACTGCGCGAGCGCGTGAAGGACCTGGAGCGAGACATCACGCTCGCACGCAAGCAGATTGAGGCACAGAAGGAGGAGACGGAGGAGGCGCGCGGCAACCTCAGAGAAGCGCAGATGGAGATTGACGTGCGTTGCCCGTGCGGCTGGAAGAGAGGGGGGAGCTGTTGTTTGTTGTTGTTGTTGTTGTTGTTGTTGTTGTTGTTGTTTGTTGTTGTTGTTTGTTGTTTGTTGTTGTTATTGTTTGTTGTTGTTGGTTGGTTGGTTGGTTGGTTGGTTGTGTTATTACTCGCGATGATATTGGCTCTTGCTTGCGAGCATGCGGCAGTGCAGGCTGAATGCTTGAGCTTAATGTGTGCTCACACATGTCGCTCATGACACACGCACACGCACACACACACACACACACTCGAACACCAGGAGATTGCGCTTCGGAAGCGGGAGGTGCAGCAGCTGTGGCAGCACAGCATCACGGGTCTGGGCAAGCGGAACGAGGCCCTGAGCGCCATGCAAAAGGCCGTACGGGAGCAGCAGCAGGAGGTGTTTGCTCGCCAGCGCGAACTCGAAGGTGTCGACCGAAACATCAAGGCGGAGCAGGAGACAAACGAGGTGCGCACTCACACACGCGGTGCAGACGGGTGGGGACGGGTTTCTGTGTGGGCGTTGGTGTGGGTGTAAATCTGAGCGTGTGGTTGTGGGTGTGGCGGGTGTGGGCGTGTGTTTGCTTGAAGAGAAGTAGTGTGGAATTGCTAGGCTGACCCCAGAACTCCCATGTTTTGTCCTTCCCATGTGCGTGCGTGTGTGCAGGGGTTTTCGCTACAGCTTTCGCGACTGGAGACGGAGGTGCAGTCTGTCAACAAGAAGATCGACGCCATCGTTGCACAGCAGGACGAGGTGACACGTCGCATCCCGCCACGTTACGTGATGCTGCTGCTGTTCCTCTCTGAACACCATGCAACGACCGTTTCGTGCACACATATTCGTCTGCGCAGCTGTGTCTTGTGCTCTAGCTACTGGCTGTCAAGCTATTGGCTGTCCAAACACCCACGACCCTCGACTCACCACTGATTACACACACACACCCAACACAAAACAACGCCAACACCTGTTGCTGATGGCACCAGGTGAAAGCGGAGTACAGCATGGTGAACAAGGCGTTACAGGACACGGAGCGGCAGCTTGAGCGCGCACAGCAGGATGCAAACATCCGCGCAGGCGAAGTCCGCATGGCCCGCGATAAACAGGACAGACTTGCAAAGCAGAAGGTGCGGGCGTTTGCTTCTGTCTTGTTGTGTGTGTGTGTGTGTGTGTGTGTGTGTGTGTGTGTGTGTGTGTGTGTGTGTGTGTGTGTGTGTGTGTGTGTGTTAGGACAGTTCGAGGGCTTGAGCGTTCCATTCCTCGTGTTCTTGTGTGCTTGTGCGCCTATACCTTGTCTGTCACTCAGCTGCACAGACTTTCTGTGGCTTGAACCTAACTCTCACCCACACACCATCACCACACCATCGCTACACCATGACTGTATCGTTGCCGCGCTCACCTGTCTGGCCACAAATGTGGCTGCGGTCAGGTTGCGCTCGAGGAGGAGCTTGTGGCGTTGATGCAGCAGAAGTTGACGGTGGACAACGCAAGCAAAGGCGCGGCCAAGTCCATCAAGCAAGTCAGGGATGCCATCGAACAGCAGGTGCAAAGTCCCACTAGAACCCACCAAGCGTTGCTTCGAGTGCTTGTGGCTGTGGTGGTGGTTGTGGTGGTGATGTTACTGCTGGTGGCGACGATATCGCTCCCCTCGTTATTATAGCCGTTCGCATTGCTGCTGCTGCTGTTGTTGTTCTTGTTGTTCTTGTTGTTGTTGTTGTTGTTGTTGTTGTTTGTTGTCGCGTGTGCACTTGCGTTGGGTTTTGGTGCATGTGCGGGGCTGGATGATTGCTGCACGAAAGTGCAGGAAGAGCCCAGAAGTATGGCCATCTTTGGGCTCACGAAACCTTGCGTGTACTCTCTTGCCTCTGCACCACAACCTGTGCCTGGGCATGCACTCACACCCACCAATGTGCACCTGTGTATGTGTGCATGTGTGTATGTAGGAGATGCTGTTGACGGACATTGAGAATGAGGCTGCGAAGAACGACGTGCGTGCGAGCGACTACGAGGCGCGCATCGAGGCTCTCAACAAGGACAGGAAGGACCTGCAAGCACACGCACAGGTAACATGTGTGCGTGAGTGTGCATGAAAGATGTGGGTGTGTTTGCGAGAATACTTGCGCGTGTCGTGTTCACCGACACGGTCACTGCGTGCGCGCGTGTGCAGGAGCTTGACCAGCAGATTCGGGAGTACGAAGCACAGAGCAAACAGCAATTTGTGGCCATTGAGCGAAAGCAGGCACAAATCGACACCATGAACAAGGTGAGGGTGCTCTGATTGCCCCTGGGCTTCTGTGTGTGTGTGTGTGTGTGTGTGTGTGTGTGTGTGTGTGTGTGTGTGTGTGTGTGTGTGTGTGTGTGTGTGCGTGTGCACGCTCGCGGTTTGCAGTACCACAGCAAAGATTTGATGCTCACTTGCACATATGCGTGCGTGTATGTGTGTACACACTGCAGAAACTGGGAGCGCTGCGTGAGCGCCTTGCGGCAGAGGGCGCTGGCAATGAGGACATGTCCCCAGCCGAGATCACCATTGCAAACCTCAGGTGCGAGCGGCCGTAGCCGCGGTGTTGCACTTGCTGCTGTTGTTTGCTCATTATTGCACTCGGACTTCACGCTCTCTATGTCGATACATGCACGCACACGTGTCAGCCCCTGTCGCCACCACCATCATTGCCGTTGCCATGGGTCTGCTTTGTGTGCTCACACAACGGGCGCCACTGCGTGGTCTTGCGTTCTCCTGCACTTTCTTTGTTTCAACAGGAAGGACATTGTTTCCGTTTCAAAGGACAATGGCGAACTCCAGGACAGGTGCGTTGCCGCTGCCCATGATGTGAAGATGACTGCGCATGCATGCTTGTGCTTGTGTTTGTGCTTGTGTGTGTGTGTGTGTGTGTGTGTGTGTGTGTGAATGGGTTTGTCTGTCTGTGTACGTGCTTCCGCGTGTGTGTGAACGCATTGATAGTTGTGGGCTCAGGCCTGTGTGCACGCACGGCCACCACACATACATATATACGTGCATGCATGCACATGTGATCAGCGTGGCATAATCCGCCGCCCCGGCCCCAATTCTTTTCAGCTCACTGCGTTGTCCCTATCTGCTGTGCTGTCGTGACTGTGCTGTCGTGACTGTGCTGTGTGCAGGTGGCTGTCGAAGCAGAGCGAGCTTGTGTCGATTGAGCGGCAGGCGGAGGACCAGCGCAACGCCATTGACGCGCTGCGCACCAAGCGCATTGTTCTGCAGGAGCAGCAGTTCCGGCTCGAGCAGGAACTCAACAGTACGTCGTTGTCCTCGTGGCTGTAGAGTGGTGGTGGTGGTGGTGGTGGTTTTGGGGTGGTGATGGTAGCGGTGGTGTTAGTGGAGGGTTGGTGGCAGGCATGTGCTTGCGGCGGTCTTGTGCGTGCTTGGACGTGATTTGGGCTGTATGTCAATGAGCGTGTTGTGTTGTATGCGCTTTGTCGCTGGTGATACGCGTGCGTGCCACTGAAACGGCAACAATGTGCTCCCAAACACATTCACAACAAGCTCACACCAAACACACATGTGCCCCGCACACACACACACACGTACACACACACACACACGCACACACACACTCATTCTCTGACCTTTCTCTCCCTCTCATGTCTCTCTCTCTTCATCTTTCTTTCTCCCCTCTGGCTCACACACACACACACACGCGCGCGCGCGCGTTTATGCGGTGGGGTGTGCGTGTGGACAGGCCAGCAGAAGGAGATCGCAACGCAGGAGAAGCAGTTCAAGGCGCTGCAGCAGGAGCTGGTGAAGCTCAACACGCTCATTGCGCGCAACAGGGGGGTGCAGGAGGACCTCCAGTCCACAAATGTGCTCATGCAGAACGAGTTTACGCGGCAGCTCAAGGCGGAGGAGCGGGAGACGGTGCAGCTGCAGACGCAGATTGAGGACCTGCACGGCGAGCGCGAGCGGCTGCTCAACGCCGTCATTGAGGCCGAGCGACAGCTGCTCCTGTGGGAGAAGAAAATCCAACTCGTCAAGGTGCGCCCGCTGTCTGTATGTGAATGTGTGTGAGGAGGGGGGGCAGTGCGCGCGGTGGTCAGCAGGCTTCTCGTGTGTGTTCGTGTGTGTGTGTGTGTGTGTGTGTGTGTGTGTGTGTGTGTGTGTGTGTGTGTGTGTGTGTGTGTGTGTGTGTGTGTGTTGAAGGCGTGCTGTGCTGTTTGGTCTGACATTGGTGTAGATGCGGCTTTGCTACGGTCACGTGTGCTGACAGACAGGCTGGCGTTGTGTCTTGTGTGCTTGACGTGACATAACCAAATGGTGGCAGGAGACAAAGGCGGAGATCAAATCAAACGAGGGGAAGGAAGAGCTTGACAGTGCGTTATACAGCCACCGCATTGTATTCTTGTGTGTGTGCATGTATTCTTGTGTGTGTATGGCTGTGTGCTTGGGACATGTGCGGGCAGCGCTGTATGTGTGTATGCGTGTGCGTGTGCTGTTGCTGCGTGCATTTCATCACACACAGGCACACAATCACGCGCTCGCTCTCTGTCCCTTGCATGACCGCTACGTCACGCCATGCTGGCACGCCACCAACACACACACGCACACACACACACACACACACACACACACACCTGTTGTGGTTATTGTTGATGGCAGGCATGCGGTCTGAGATCCATCGCATGAACCTGAAGCTGCAGTCGATATTGCGGGAGAAGGAGGAGCTGATTACGGAGATGGAGCGGTGCGTCGACCGCCGCGGAAACATCGGTGCAAAGGCCCGCCTGCAGGCAAAGAAGGGCACAAACCACACACAGAGCATCCGCAAGGAGGTAACCTATGTGTGTGTGTGTGTGTGTGCGTCCGTGTGTGCGTGTGCGTGCGTGTGCGTGTATGTGTGTGTGTGTATGTGAGGCCGTGTGTATGTGTGCATGTTCTGTGAGTGGGCTAGTGGCCGGGCGTACATGTGCTTTCATGGAAAGATGTGTGCGTGCGTGTGTATATGTGCGTGAATGTGCGTGCTTGCATGTACTGATGCGCCACAGCGCTGTGCTCACCACCACTATATCGCCTTTTTCATCCCCATGCGCACACACTCACACACACACACACTCACCACTCACACACACACACATACTCCTTCACACACATACACACAACTCCCTACCTCCGCTCAACTTCCACCGCCACTGCCACCGGGCGCAACAGGTGATGGATCTGAAGAAGCGGGTGAAGACGGCGCTGTCGGACATTCGTCTGTGCGAAGAAGAGATTGACCTCAAGCAGCAGCGGCAGGACGAGGTGCGAGCACACAAATGCCGTCTTCTTTGGCGTTGGCATACACATACACACAGACATGCACACACACATGCGCACGCACATACACACACACACACAGACACGCACACACAGATATGCACACACAGATATGCACACACATACGCACATATGCGCACACCAACCAAGGCGACTCCTTTCTCCTGCACGTGTCCCGACTCCACCGCAACCGTCACCACCATCACCACCATCACCAAAAACACTTCCACCGGTCTCACCAACATCACCCACCACCACCATAGGTGCACCACGCGCTGCGGGAGCGGCAGGAGCGGTTCCGAGCGCTGCGCCAACACCTTGACGAGCTGGCGTCCATGAAGCGGCAGAAGATGCGGCAGCGCATGCACAACCTGGAGGACGTTGTTGATGCGCAGGCCGCGCTCAAGCACTACCAGGCCGTCACCAAGGGCAGCCTCAAGCTCCGCTTCAAGGTACACGCACACACACACACACATACACGTACATGTGTGCCCCGAGCTGGCGTGGCGTCGCAGCTGCCGCACATGCGCACGAGCATGTCCCTGTTTCCTCATATGCTTGCGTGCTTGTATGTATGTGTGACTGTGTGTGTGTGTGCATGTCGGTGCCTGCCTTGCCCATCTTGGCCGTGCATGTGTGATGATGCTGCGTCGTGTTTGTCGTGTGACCTGTGTTGTCTGCACTTTGCTGACGCTGACGTGTGTTGATTGCGGTGCAGGATGCGTCGAGCTACGAGCGCAGCATCGACAAGCAGATGACAACGCTGCAGCACCTCGGTGCCATCATCGGTGAGGGCACGGAGAACGAGGGCTTGTGACTGCCGTGTGTGTCATGGCGTCCATCCGGCGGCTATCAGACACACGCACACACTCACACATGGACACCAAATGCACACACACACACATATGTATCAATTGCAACGGGTGTTTTGTGCTTGATGCATGATTGTGGGTGCGTTTTGAACCTACCGCTCACACACACACACACACACACACAACCATCACGCACACAACCATACACGCACACACACACACACAAATATACACACAACCACCTGCACCATACACCGTCATGCACGCCAGACTACTTGGTGCGGGAGTACCCTGATCTTGAAGAGTCGTTTGCATCTGTGCGGGACACGCTGGGGTTCAAGCTGAGCAAGTTCCGGCGGGCAACAGCGGATATGAGGGGCGCTGACGGTGGGGATGACGACATTGAGGAGGATGCCACTTCCATGGCCGACACGACCATCACCACCAGCGCTGGCAGCAGGCGATCGAACCGTTGATGAGTGGGCTGGGCATGTGTGTGTGTGTGTGTGTGTGTGTGTGTGTGTGTGTGTGTGTGTGTGTGTCTATGTCTGTGTGTGTTGTACTGTGTGAAGAGGCACGCAGAAATGGGGTGTGACCCATGCATGGGTTGCTGTTTGTTGTTGTTGTTGCTGTCGTTTGCTGCTTGTGTTGGTGTCTCTCTCTCGCTCTCGCTCGCTCTGTGCCAATATAGAAGACAATGGGGACACAGTACTCTTCCATGCATTATGCCAAAAAGCTCGTGGATGAAGATTTGAAGAGATGATTGTGCACACACGTCATCGATGATGGTTTGTGTAAGATATTCAACAATGCTCCAGGCAAGCGTTCCTGTTGTGTAACACCCCTGATCGTTCAACCCCCTCTCTATTACGCACGCAGACGCACTCTCGTTCATGTCACACGCTGCCTTCGCGCAAGTGTCACACCACACCAAACAAGCACCCGCTACCCAACACAAGAAGCGCTACCATCCCAGCCCACCATCACAACCATCAGCCAACCGTCGTCACTGCATGATGCACGAGGAACACCCAACAGAAGACGCTATCATTATCACGGAGCACGTTGAGCGCACCCAGGCTCAACAACCACAAGCAGATGGGTGTGGTGCTCCTGCTCAGAGCGAAGACGCAGGCTCGACAGCAAGCGCAAGCACAGCAAGCAGCAGCCCAAAGCGCGGCACGTTTGTTGCCTATGGCGAGTGGGGGAAAACCAGATGCACGTACCACCGGGCCATTTCAAAAACACACACGCTCACCTTCGACAAGGCCAACGAGACAGACACGGCCCTTGCTGCCTTCGACTACTGTGTGCGGCGGCCACCTGTCTTGGCGCGCATTGCGCAGAGCGAGCCCGGCAACATCACCTGCACCCTGCAGACGTCCCCGGCCGTGCTGACGGTGACAGGTGTCACACGCGAGCAGGCGGCTGCGCTGGCAGAAGAGTACACCAGCGAGCTCATGGAGGCGTACTGCGATGCCGTGGCTTTAGGTCGAGGCTCCCTCGACTTCAACTTCTACATGCACCGCTTCTTTGATGATGAGGAGGAGCACGTTGGCGAGCTCGATGCACACGAGCACTCGGCTTCTTCACGCACCAGCGACAAGGACATCAACTCCAGCACCTGCAGTGAGCACAGCACCGCAAGCGACAGCGACAATGGCAGCAGTGGCAGCGTGGTGAGCAGTGGCGACGAGGTGAGCGATGCAGACAGCGGTGTTCACGGCTCAGCCCACGCACCCGGTAAGAGCAGCGCCAAGCACGCTGAGCACGCCGAGCACGTTGAGCAAGCGACACAAGCAGCTGCTCGAGCAGTCGAGACGCAGGTCATCCCTGTCGACATTGCGGGGATGCAGGGCGAGCTTAAGCTGAAGGACGACGACGAGAACTTTGCACTCGTCGCTGCTGCCATCCACCGCGGCCTGGAACGACTGCAGTTCACGAAGGACACGGCATTTGCGGCTGTGGGCCCGAAGATGCCGCTCAAGCCGTCCGCAGACGCCCCAGCTTTGCTTCAACAGGCCATGTGCGCACAGCTGTTGCGCTTGAGCCAAGAGGTGGGGGAGGGCAGCGAGGATGGCAGAAACGAGGACGACAACAAACACCAGCAGCACCAGCAGCAGCAGCAGCACCAGCAGCAGCAGCACCAGCAGCAACAGCAGTTTGGTCTGAAGAAGGAAGACGACAAGGTAGACGAGGAAGACGCGGCAGGGTGCCACAAGAGTGCGGCGCGTGAGTTCATCATTGCGTCCACCGACCCAGCTGCACTAGAGGCTGCGCGTGAGGCTCTCAACCACGCCCTTGCAAACTTCCGCCTTGATGTGCCAGGTTATGCCGACCTTGCCGGTTCTTGGGACCAGATGCTACACAACTTCACGCATCACGCCGATACGCGACAGAGTATTTTGGATATTCGGGGCATCAAGTTTTACCGCACATGTGCTGTTCCACCTGAGCTGCGGCCTGCGCTTGATAACATTGAGATGGTGTGGCTGCAATCATATCAGCCCCCCACCTTGAAGCAATGGAAGTCCATGGTCAGCCTCCCAAACATCAAGATACTTGACCTCAACTCGCCGCGAAACACAGCAGAGCTGTTTGAGAAGGTGAAGGCGACGGGCGACGAGGAGCTGGTGCGCCGCTTCAAGGAGGTGACGGTCCTGTACAACCACACGGGCCTGAGCCCCGAGGAGGCAAAGCGGCACCGATACCGGCAGCGACTCGCGTCTGCGTTTGACGTTTTCACCATGGTGTGTATGTACGTTCTTGTATGTTCCTGCACAAGCGACTATGCTTGCGCTTCGCACCGCGTGTGTAGCCATTGCGATCTAGCTTTGCACAAGACGCGTACTTCATTCTCACGCACGTGTTCTCTGCTGCTTCCTGCTGGTTGGTGTTTGTTTGCTGTTCCTGGCGCTGCCATGCAGTTCGGGCATGGCCGGGACTGCGAAGCGTGCAAGCAGCGCGAGATGAGCTGGTGGTGCCTGTATGACAATCCCGGCAACTGCGAAGGCGTCGACTTCTATGACCCCGACTACTCGGACGGGCTTGACTGAGATCATGAGATGGTCTGAAGGTCTAGGAGGATGGTGAACATGATGGCAACATGGCTAAGTGATGTGCTCGTGCCTGTGTGGGACACGCAAGGAGTGGGGCTGGCTGTCAAATGTATGATTGGTGGAGTTTGCAACACACGACGTATGTTTGTCCCTCCAAGGCTGCGTGGGTGAGTGTGTTTGGTGTCGTCTGCAGGTGGGCTGCTTTGAGAGTTCGAGTGCCTTGAGATGAATACAAAAAGAACTAGAGAAGAGAACAAGTCACCCATTCGGTGTGTGCAACGCTGCGAAGTTCCATTGCTTGTGCAAGGAGTACTCCGTCATCTTTCTCCACGCCATCAACCGCTTTCGACCTCAAAGGCCTGAAGGCACATGTCCTCATGTCGGCGGAACCACGCTCGCTCAGCTTCAGTAAATATCTAGGTTCATGTGTGTATGTGTGCTCGCTTGCATAGGTCGTCTATCTGCCAAGAGTGGCATAGGATTTCATTGTGAAACGACACAGAAAAGGCAGTGCAGCCAGGCAGCGGCAGCAGACTCACACGAACGCGTCAGTCAGCAAGGACAACACGTCATGAGCACGGGAACTGCTCAAAGGAGCAATACGTAGGCGGGTGGAATTAAGGGAAACACGGAGCAGCACAACAACAAATACGACGTGACATGGAATTGTGTTGTCTGGGTTGCATTTATGCGTCCAGGAAGTTAGCAGCCTGTGGGCAAGTGGTGTGTGAAAACACATGCAGAATGACGGCCTTGGTGAGAATGTGCAGCAAGGTCAAACAGATGTGATGGGGCACATGCACATTAAGTGGCAAACGCCACCACACACAAGCACGCACACACGCACACACACACACGCACACACACACGCACACGCACACGCACACACACATACACACACACACACACACACACACCCGCACGCACACACACACACACATGCCAACACACACATGCCAACACGCACACACACACATACTAGGCGCACCATCAACAGCTCCAGCACAGTCTCCGGCTTGATGTCAAAGTCTGGCAGGTCGCTCTTCGACTTGTCGTAGCGTTTCTGTCAAACATGACCGGTCGAAAAAGGGCATGGACAGGGGTGGTGGATGTCCAGTGGAGCTATGTGTCAGTTGCATTGGGTCAGGTACAACCACAAGCAAGGTAGGAGAACCGGGGACATGTTCATTGAAACTCAACGGCACCTTGTAGTACAGGTAGATGCACACGCGCTCCAGGATGGGGCCTCTGGTAAAAGGCACGAGAGAGGGAGGAGGACCGGGTTGGATGAGGACAGCGCGAAAGGGACAATGGAAAGACACATATCAGGCAGATACAGCAGCAGCAGCAGCACATGTCACGCAAATTGGCGAGCATCAGGGAAGGACGAACAGCACCAGACACAAGAAAAGCGTTAGCACCGTGCCAACCTGATCTCGCGAAGGGCAATCTCGTTCCTTTCATTCTCAACAAAGCGCCCTGGTTCAAGAGAGCAGAAACAGGGTTGGGTGGTGGGGTGTGTGGGAGGCGGTTGTGAAGACTGATTCACGCTCGCCAGACAGGTCGACACACAAGGGTAACAAGGCCAGTACAAATGCGCGACTACACAGATGCACGGAGAAGCACAAACACAAACAAACACACAGACAGACTAGCAGACAACCAAACAGACAGGCAGACAAAAAGACAGACAGATAGACAGAGAGACAGACAGACAGAAAGACAAGCAGACAACCAAACAGACAACCAAACAGACAAGCAGACAAGCAGACAAGCAGACAGACAGACACACACACACACACACAAACACACATACGCACACACACACACACACACAAACACACGCACACACGCAGACGCACAAACACACGCACACACATGTGTACATACACAAATCAAGCAAGCCAGACTGACCTGGTCCTTCGAGCATGCTCTTGATTGTGCCAGAGAGCATGGCGCAGTCGCGCGAGATGATGAACTCCTCCCCATCAGAAGAAATCAGCGACACAAACTGACAAAGAGGCCAAGCCCAAGTAGTGATGAACAAACGCGCAACAATGCGGTGAGTCACAAACGGGACCCAAGATGCCATTTCATGTGCATGTGCATGTGCATGTGCATGTGCATGTGCATGTGCGACGGGGGTATCTCCACGCACAGCGGAAGCGCAAGGAGCACCAACCTGTGCCTGTGTGGCAGCGTCAGGTGAAGACATAGCGCTTGTGGTTGGTGGTTGTTGTCGTCAGCAACGAGTTTGCGGCAGACGACGGCGGTTTAATGCATCTCGACACCACAAAACGCATTTTCGCTGGTGTGTGTGTGTGTGTGTGTGTGTGTGTGTGTGTGTGTGTGTGTGTGTGTGTGTGTGTGTGTGTGTGTGTGTGTGTGTGCGAGTGTGTGTGTGTGTGTGTGTGTGTGTGTGTGTGTGTGCGTTCTCTCTCTCTCTCTCTGTGTTCTCTCAACACACGCACTCTCCTCCTCCCCCCCCACGCGCGCTTTGTTATTGTTTGTGTATTGGCCGTTTTGTTTGAGGGCAGGGTCTATGTAACACAGCGTGTCACGTGCAGCGTCATGCCGCAGCATAAGCACAGGGGATGACACGCACCATCTCAGGCCACCGATGAAGGCATCCATCCTTGCTGCTGCTGCTGCTGATGAGGAGGAGGAGCAAAGTGGCCCGGCGGTGGACGGTAGGCGGGTGTCGCGCCCTGAGGTGGGGGTGGCTGTGACATGGGGGGAGGATAGGGATATTGCTGCTGTTGCTGCTGGGGTGGCAGTTGCGGTGGCGGTTGCTGCTGGGACGATGGCGGGAAGGAAGCGGGCGGCCCTTGTTTGCCCGGCTGATGTGCCTGAAACGGTGGCTGGGGTGGCCGATGCTGCTGTGGCTGTGCTTGACCAGGATGCTGCTGTTGCTGGTGGTGTTGGTGGTGTTGCTGCTGGTGTGCGGTCATCTGCGGCGGCACCGGGGGCCGTGGACCCATGGGCGGTGCACCGTATCCGTCCTGCTGCGACGGCGCCGGCATGCCGGGCTGGTACGGCTGCTGCTGTTGCGGGTGGTGTGGTGCGAGCGCGGTGTGGTGCTGCATGGGGTACCCGCCTCGTCCCTGCTGCGCGTGTGGTGGCAGTGACGGTGGTGGCGCGTGTGCTTGCGATGGGTGCATGGCTACGCCAAGCTGGTGTGGCGGGCGCGTAACGCGGGCCATCCCGGGATCCTGCGCCATCAGCCGCGTCGACAGCGCATTCACCTGCCAACACCCACACGCACACGTGTGAGTGAGTGAGTGTGTGTGTGTGTGTGTGCGTGTGTGTGTGTGTGTGTGAGCGCACAGAGTAGTTGGTGCGACAAAGTGGCAGCAAGGAAAGAAAACGACGGCAGTCCAAGCGACAGGCAGTGCGGCGGCTCTCAGTTGCGCACCAGTGCGTATTTCTCGAGGACTTGGTTGACGCGGGCGAGGCGGCGGTCGTAGTCGTCCACGCGCTCCGTTACGCCCGTGCTGCCAGTGTAGGTTGGTTGAGAGTGGATTGGATTGTTCGGAGGATGAGCACGGTGAGTTTGATTAGTTGGGAGTTGGCACATGCTAGTCAAGGGAGCACAAGGCCACACAGACAGACAGCCAGACAGCCAGACAGACAGACACACACACACACACACACACCACACAGACAGACAGACACCAAAAGCACCAAAACCCACGACAAGGCCTCTGTTTGCCACGGGCGCGTACATTGCTGCGTCGCATTGCTTCTCAAGGTCGTCCATCTCTGCGTCGTGCGTGTGGTCCCCGGGACGCGTGGAGACAACGAGTTCGAGGAAACGGTCAAAGAGGGCGCTGTCAACAGCACTAGTGGCAGCAGTCTGTCGCGGCCGGTGTGGCGTGCGCGCGTGGATGTGAGTGGATGGTGTACACGCACAAAAGCAACACCAACACCCCAGCGGCAAGAATGAGAACCAGAACAACAAGAACGAGAACAACAAACACCCGCACAAACACCAACAACAAGAATAAGAACAAAACAGCTGGGACAGCAAGCCACGCAGCCAATCACTCCATGCGCCACGCACAGCGCACATGCATGCCGCCCTCACCTGCTGCTGTGTGGTGTCTGCGGCAGCTGCCTGGCCCTGATGCTTCTTGCTTGAGCGGGACTGCTTCGACTTCGCCTTCGCCTTCGTCTTCGCTGGGCGCACTTCTTCAACCACATCCACATCCTCCTCCTCCTCCTCCTCGTCAACGTGCTGCTGCTCGTCCTCTTCCTTCTGCACATCAGCGCCGTCGGGCTGTGCGGCCCTCACCTCCGGCACGACCTCGGCGTTGAGGTCAAAGGACACAAACGACGACGGAAAGAACCCTTCGTCGCCCGTGCGCGAGACACCCTGCCACCAGTTGGGGTCGCTGCTCGCGCGATAAGGGAGGGCGTGGGGAGAGGGTGGTGAGGAGACGCGCTGGTATGGTTCTTGATTGGAGCCTTATGGCGTGCGGTGTAAAATACAACGGCTCAAAGACGCACGCACGCACAGGCAGACAGGCAGACAGGCAGACAGACAGACACAGACACAGACACAGACACAGACACAGACACACACACACGCACACGCATAGAGTGACTCACGATTTGTCGGTGACGGTGATGATGTCGCCTGCGTTGAGGGAGAGTTCATTTTCCTCTGAGCCTTCAAAGTCATACAGCACCTTCACCGGCTGCCAAACACGCACATATGCAGCGCAGTGGGATGTGATGTGGAGGTGGTGATGGTAATGGTGAACGAACACACATGAACACATGCAATCACATGACCAAGAATGCAAGCTCTCCACGCGCAAATGCACACACACGCACGCACGCACGCACACACACACACTTGGCCTGTGCGCTGCTTGCGCTGAGTTGGGGCGGGAGCGTAGGATGGCTGCTGCTGCTGCTGTTGTGGCGTTGATGCTGCGTTGAGTGACTCCTTGATGGCGCGCGCAAGGTCGGCCTCCTAAACACACACACACACACACACACACACACACACACACACACACACACACACACACACACACACACACACACACACACACGCACGCACGTTTACATGTTGGCATGCATCCGTGCATGGGGTGAATTGGTGAACTTGAAGGTGCTGCTTGAAGAGAGTCACACCGCGGCCTTCGACTCCGATGTAGCACAGACATACATACATACATACATACATACATACATACAGACAGACAGACACACATGCACGCACGCACACACACACATGCACACACTCGTACGTATTGCATTTCAGCCTCGCGCGTGCGTGCGCCAGTTCCCGCGGATGTGTTTGGGGAGAGAAAGTTTGACGAAGCGGTGGTGGTTGCGGCGGCAGTGGCCGGGACGCTGCTGAACGCGGTTGTGGCGCCAGTACCAGCACTGCTGGACACCAGTCCTTCCCGGCGCAGGTCCTGCACCTGTTTGGGTTTGAGAGGGTGTGTGTGTGTGTGTGATGTTGTTGTCATGAGCCATGATGTGATGTAGTAACATGCGCATTGCCTGTTTCGTCCACTCAGCAAACACCGACAGAGAGACAGAGACAGAGGCAGAGATCAAGACAGAGATAGAAACAGGGAGGCAGACACAGGGAGGCAGACACACACACACATACACACACACACACACACACACAGACACACACGCACACACGCACACACACACACACACACACACGCACAAACTCACATACACACACACACACACACACACACGCAGACAAGTTTCCTTGTCCACATAAACGAGTGGCAACGTCGTACCCAGTCGTTGACGATGCGAAATTGGGCCTGGCTGCCAAAGTCCTTCTGCCATTCAAGTAGGTTGGTGCGCATGTTTTGCTTCACCTTTTCTGGCAGCTGCGACTTGAGCACCTGGCGAATGGTGGCAAAGTTGTCACGGCAGAGGACGGCCTTGCGAAACTCTGGGCCTCCGTTCTCCACAAGCGCATGCAGCAACGTGATGGAGTACGACACTGCAAGCGGGTTGCGCTCCTTCAGCCTGCGCATCATCATGCGCGATGCGTCGCGGCATTCCTCAAACGTTGCGCGCTGCATCTTGTCGGCCAGGTTCATAAACGCCTGCCAGTCCTCCGTCACCTTGCGCTCAGAGGTGGCCTCCACTGCGATAGCCAAGCAGAAAGAGGTGACAATATATTCAATTGGTGATGTGTGTGTGTGTGTGTGTGTGTGTGTGTGTGTGTGTGTGTGTGTGTGTGTGTGTGTGTGTGTGTGTGTGTGTGTGTGTGTGTGTGTGTGGTGCACGCGGGCATGCGGCGGCGTTTGCGACACCGCCGCGTCATGGTCGTTGTACGTGGGTCAGGCAATCGACGACACGACACCACCCTCCACGAAACCACAACCCATGAGCGTGGCGTTACGCACTTATTTCGCGGTCGAATTTCCCCATCTTCGGTGGTGGTCTTCTTTGAATGAGTGTGCTCTTGTTGAAATTGTCTTCTGCGTCTGTGGCTGCTCCACTTCTTCCGTTGCGACGAGCGAGCCGGTGGTCGGTTGGTCGGTGGTCGTGGCAATGATGGACACGCTGGAGATTCTCGCTGCTTGCTTCTTGCTCTTGTTGCTTGCTTGCGGGGTTGGTTGGTTCTGTTTGTGTTTGCTTTTTTTTTTGTTTTCAGTTGTGTACACGAATTGCTTTGTAAATCTTTCGCAAAACGTCCCCAGTGAGTCATCACCACAAGCATGCACTGCTGTTTCGTGTGTCGTTGTCAACTTCATGGCTGCGTTGGATGGATGTATTGGGGCAAGCAGGGCCAGCAAGGCAAGGCAAGCAAGCAAGCAGGCAAAGCAAGTCACATCATCACATCACATTCACAGCACAGAAGACGAACAGAGGAGGGCGAAGGGGATAAGGAGGGGGAAAGAAGGGAAAAGAGCAAGTCAGCAACGCAAAGTCAGCAACAAGTCAACAACACAATGTCAGCAATACAAGGCAGCAAAACGAAAGGCAAAGAGAAAACAAACAGGGAAACAACACCACCATCTCAACCACCACACTATCGCACGGCAATCAGAGCCGTGAAGACAGAGCAGCAAGAGGAAAAACGAGCATATCAAACAACGACAGAGGAAAGCAGGATCAGCGGTGGCTTGGTGTGCCTCAGATGGCGCTGGAGCCAAGCAGGTCGCGAGCGGCGTGCGTGTTGCCGTAGAAGTCGTCTCCACTGGCAACCTGCAGATGGGCAGAAAGGACGACGCGAAGGAACAAGCGAGCGAGCAGAGGGATTCAGACGACAGAATCAGTGGTGTGTAAAGCTTTCGATGGTGGAGCAGGGTCGCACACGCGGTTGCAAATGCACCGGCACTCGCACTCACAGTCCAAAGGGCAACACAAATTCACCCACAAGCACGCTTGTCTACATCAAACACCCACCCACCCACACCCACACGCACACACAGCAAGGGATATGTTCCATGGCGTTCAATTGCATGCTGCACGCGTGTACCTGCGCGATCATATCGGCCTGGTGGCTCTTGAGCGGCAGATGAGGGGCATTGGGGTCCTCCTCCAGCGCTTGGCTGTCATGGGCGTGGTCGTGGTCGTTGCAGATCAACAGCACAAGGTGAGCACGTGGGTCAGCTGTTCACACATGGAGGCGTGCTTGCAACACGTACGTACGCACAAGCTCCTCATGCACATACGTACAAGCACCCCCCCCACACACACACGTACACGTACAACCCCCCCCCCCCCACACACAAGCACAACGCTCCCCTCCCGCCTCTGTAACAGCGTACGCACCCCCTGCGCATGACAGCAGGAACGTCGTCGTATTGGTGGACGACCGGCTGGCGGGCGCCACTGGCCGCCACGAGCGCAACACCAAGCACGGGGCTCGTGGTGGCCGCGTAGTGCTGCACAAGCTCCGGCAGCGACGCAAACGCAGCCCCGCTGTTGTCGCCAACCAGCACAAACTTGCCCTCCTGGCCCTGGGGCCTGATCTTCACCTCAGCCACCTCGGCAGTGCCCGTGCGCACGTGCAGCATGTACCAGCCGGGGGACGTCGGGTAGTCGCGAATGATAAACTCGCCCACGGCGGCACGGTTCAGCAGCTCCATCTCGCAGTCCGCCCGCGACATCTCAGCGCGGTACCAGGGATACAGCTGCGAGCTGAAGCCGTCCACAAACCCGGACACGGGCGCGTGGTGCATGTGGTGGCCGTGGTACAGCGGGTTGTCCATGGTGCTGGGTGTGCTCGCGAAGGACGGGTGGAGCTCCTTGCGCCGCCCGCGCACAAACAGCAGCAGCGCAACCGCGACAACCAGCAGCAGGCCCGCACACACGCCAATGACAACGGGGATGGTGCTGGACGCCGCGGAGTTGCTGCTGCCCTTGCTCTCCAGATCCTCGCCGCCAGGCGCAGTCGGGTCGACGACAATGCTGGGATCAACAGTGGTGTCGGCCGTGCTGGTCGTGGTGCTGGTGCTCGTGGCGGATGTCGTGGCCAGGGACGTGTCAAGCACAATGGGCAGCACAAAGCGCGACGAGTGGGCGCCCGTGCTGTCCGTGACCACAATGACGAGCTCAAACATCTGGTCAAGCTGCGCACCGGTGGTCTCTGGCGTGCGAATCACCGTCACCTCGCCCGTGGTGGAGCCGATGATGAAGATGCCATCGTCGTTGCCAGACTCAATCGCATACGTGACGTCCCCTGCGTTCTCCGGGTCGTAGGCCGACAGGACAACCACGGGCGTGCCCGAGTCTGCGTTGGGGGCGACACCAACAGGCGCGGTCACCTCTGGCGTGTTGAACACGGGCGGCTCCTCAACGTTGCGCACCTCAACCTCAATCGTGGACGACACAGGCGCCGGCACTGCAACACCGCTGCCGCTGCTGCCGCCAGCGGCGACAAACGACGCCCTGACAGTGAACGCATACACGTGGTTGGGCAGGGATTCGTAGTCGAGGAGTGAGCCGTCACGGATGACCAGGCGAGCCGTGTTGGGCTGTCCAGATGGCAGCACATCAAACGCAACATCATCGGCGCTGCGGCGAGCAAGCCCGGTGTCCTCCGTTGGGGCGGACACGGTGAACACAACCGTGAGGTCGTCGCGATCAAAGTTGACGAGGGTGACGTGTGCCACCTCCTGTCCAACTGCCTCGCTCGGGCGCACAACCTCGTCAATCACTGTCGTGTTGATGGCAATGTGCATGGGGCGGTCCGTGACGGCAATCTCCACAGGAAGCGTGGCCGACGCACCGCCGTTGTCTGTCACCGTCACCATGATGGTCTCCGTGGGGCGTGTCTCGTGGTCAAGGTCGCCTGCAACGACAACGGCTGCGCGCTCAACGCCGCCATCAAGCTGGCGCTTGATCGCAAACCGCGCGTTGGCGGCCGTGCTGTCGGCGAGCGCAAACTCAAACTCAACGTCACCCTCGTCCACGTCTGTGGCGGAGAGGAAGCCAACAAACGTGCCCGCCGGTGCGCCCTCAACAATGGTGGCGGGCGACAGCGCAACGGAGGTGGGCGGCTCGTTCACGTTCTCAACAGGCACAACAATCGTCTCGCGGCCAAACAGGCCGTCGTCGGCGGTGGTGGTCGCTGTCACGACGCACTTGTACGCGGGGCCCTCGAGGTCAATCTGCCGCGTCAGCGTCACCTGCGCCGTGCAGATGGTGTGGCCCTGCTCGCTGTTGGCGCAGTCCACGCCACCAGACAGCTCAAACGGGCACTCCTGCGACACCTCAATGGTCATGGGCTGGCTCGGGTCGTCGTCGCGCGCGCGCACCACGCCAATCACCGTGCCTGCAGGCGTGTTCTCCGTGATGGTGGTGGACGGCACGAGCGCAATCTCGCGGGGCGCATCCGGCCGGTCCTCCACCGTGATGGTGAACGCCTGCTCTGGCGACGTCAGCGGCGGGAAGCCCGTGTCGGTTGCAATCACGCGGATGGTGTGCGTGGGCGTGCTCTCAAAGTCAAGCGGCTTGACCAGGATGAGCGCGGGCCCGGACACGGCAAACGTGCCGTCTGCGTCGTCTGTGAGCGTGAGGATGTGCAGGTCTGATGCGTCTGGGTCCGTCACCTTGAACAGGCCAACAACAGAGTCGGACGGCGTGTCCTCGGGGATGGCGGTGAGCGGCGTGGTGAGCTCGCTGGCGTCCTTGCCGTGCTCCACCTGCACCAGCGCAATGGCCGTCGGCGCGTCGTTCTGGTTCACGATGCGCACCGTAATCACCTCCTCCACAACGAGCCCGCCCTGGTCCGCGGAGCGGATGAGCAGGGGCACGTCCTTGTTGTCGCCAGAAAAGTCAAACTCGACCGCCGTCACGAGCGCGTCGCCCTGGATGGCAAACAGGTCTGTGCCGTTGAGCAGCGCGTATGTGAACGTGTTGTCCCGGTCGGGGTCGACGGTGCTGAGCGTGCCCACCGTGGTGCCCAGGGCGGCGTCCTCGTGCACGAAGATCTGCGACAGCCGCACAAACGTGGGCTGCTCGTTGACGTTGGTCACGGTGACAGTGGCGGTGGCGGTGGCGCGCGCACCGGCGCCGTCCGTGGCCACGACCTCAAACACGTACTCGCCGCGGTCCTCGTGGTTGAGCGGCCCGGTTGTGGACACCTCGCCCGTGGTCGGGTTGACCGCAAACAGGGCGGCGTCGCTGGCGAAGCGGAAGCCCGTGAGGCTGAACGACACCTCGCTGTAACGCGCGTCCACGGCATCGCGCACCAGCACGCTGTCCGGGTCGGTTGCCGACACGCGGAAGAGGAACTGCGGGGCCGCGTTCTCCGGCAGCGCAGCCGTGTACGCGTCCTGATCCATGGCCGGGTTCTCGTTGACGTTGAGCACGTCGACAGACACGCGCACCTCGTGCACGAGGCCCGACGAGCGGCCCGTGGCGGCGACCGTGAGCGCGTAGCTGGGGGTGGCCTCATAGTCGACGTTGTCAAACAAGATGAGCGCAAACGCACCGTTGCCGCGGTCCAGCACGCTGAACACGTCGCTGGCGCCGTCGTTCTCGCCGTCACTGCTCAGCACAACGTCGTACTCCTCCTCGGCAAAGGTATTGCCGACGGTGAAGGCAGCCACCTCCTCGCCGCGCTGCGTGCCCTCGGAGACGGTGATGTAGCTGTCGAGGCCGCGGATCTCGGGCGCGCACTGGGCGTCCTCAAAGGCGGGGGTGTATGCGGTCTGGGACACCTGTGGCTGGCAGCGCATGCAGGGGTTGTCGGCGGGCGCCTGGCCTTCAAGCACGCACTGGTTGTCGATGACGCAGGCGTTGGGCTTGATGGTGCACTCACCGTCGCGGGTGCACTGCTTGCAGCGGCCGTCATAGAAGATGAAGGGGCGGGCAGTGCTGTACTCGCCGCTCTCACGCGAGATACGCACGGGCAGCACGCGCTCCTGCGCGCCGGTGATGTTCACGCGCGGGATGGCGCACTGCATCTGGGCGGAGGCGATGAAGCGGCCGGGGGTCTCCTCGCCGTCCACGAGGCAGTTGAGGCCGGGCCCGGGCAGCAGCTGCTCCGACGACACGGTGATGACGGTGGGGCAGGCCGTGTTGATGTCGCAGCTGAAGGGGAACAGGCCGTTGTTGGCGGGCACGACGGTGATGTTGGTGCTGCAGTCGGCGCCACTCCAGCCGTCGTTGCAGATGCACGTGCCGTTGTTGCAGACGCCGTTGAAGCTGCAGTCGCCGGGGCACAGGCGCTCCACCACTGCGCGCTGCAGCTGTCCGGGCACGAGGTTGCCGGCCTCGTCCTGGTCAAAGAGCGTGATGTTTGTCGACGCAAGGAACTCGCAGTCCTCCTGCGGTGCGGTGCCATGGTATAGGGGTGGGGAGGGGGGCAGGTGTGGTGGTTATCATGATGATGATGATGATGATGATGATGATGATGATGATGATGATGATGATGATGATGATGAGGATGATGATGATCGTGGTGCAAACAAGCAAACCAAGCAGCCGAAAAACAATAAAAAAGAAGAAAAAAAAAAAACAACAAAAAAACAAACAAACAAACCAACCAACCAACACACACACACACAACCAAACAAACAACAACCCCACGCACAACCCCACCCTCACAGTCAGACAGCGACACGAACCCAGGCAGCAGCGCATACCTTCATGGAGTCGATGGCACCGAGAATGAGGTCCTCGTCCTGCTGCGTGACCAGGTCCTCGATGCAGTTGTCAATGTACTGCTGGATATCCACGCCAACCTCTGCGCACACGTCCGCCGCAAGCGACCCCGTGATGGCGCTCTCGCACAGGTTCTCGTACCGCGCAACCTGCTCGTCACCGAGGAAGATGGAGCCGACCTCCTGCGGGTCAAACTCGTATGCGGCGCGCGGGTCGTCGTCGCCAATGTCAAGAGTCTTCAGAAGTTCTGTCAGGTCCTCAATGTCTGGGGAGCGCAGGACGGGCCGCTGCACGGGGCGTGGCGGCGCCTCGCAAAACGCCACATCGGGCTCTGGGCGGCTGTATGGCGTGCAGGCGCCGGCCTTGCGCGTGCGGAAGAAGTCGCGAGAAGACGGGATGACGAGGCCGTTGCCGTTGATGGGGTCGTTGCTGCGGTCGTTGTCGTACGAGCCGCACAGCCCGCGGGTGCGGGGCTCCGTGTTGGCGGCGTTGGCGCGGTCAACGTACCCAAAGTCAAACCCTGGAGCGGTGCCGTAGACATCAAGCCAGCGCGTGGAGGAGAAGCGCGGGGCGCGGCGGCAGCCAGACCAACCGCACGACGTCATGCCCTGGAACACAACACGCACGCGCACAACCACGCGCACTTGTGCAGCGGAGCGGGCGGAGGAGATGATGTAGTTGTTGGTGCCGGACTCCTGGCGCACGGAGAGGCGCTGCGACGGCGGGTTGTTGAAGTCGCTGTACATGACGAGGCCGTTGCCAGAGCACTGGTCGAGCACAACCAGGTCGCAGCCCTCGCGCACGCCAACGGCGCAGTTGCGGCCGTTGGTGACGCGTGTCTGCACCTCCCAGTCGCGCATGGGCGCTCCCCAGAGGAGGTACGTGCCTGGATGAGGTGAGAGAGAGAGAGAGAGAGAGAGAGAGAGAGAGAGAGAGAGAGAGAGAGAGAGAGAGAGAGAGAGAGAGAGAGTGTGTGTGTGTGTGTGTGTGTGTGTATGAGTGTGTGTGCATGAGTGAGTGTGTGAGTGCGTGGGCGTGAGTGCGTGATTGCATGTTTGTGAGTGCGTGAGATGTGTATGTAAAGTGGCAAAAGCGCGAAGATGTTCGTATTCCATCAACACACAGAGACAGACACACACAAATACAGTCACACACACACACATACACACACCGCTGCTGGTGAAGGTGCTGCGGCGGCCATCCCAGCTGATCTGGTTTGGGTCTGTGGTGGACGAGCACTGGGCAGGCTGGTACGACTGCGTCTTGATGACAATGTCGTCGGCGTCAAAGTTGGCGTAATACTCGGAGTTGGACTGCAGGGGCTCCGTGATGAGGGTGAACGTCTTCTCGCCATCGTCGACGAAATCCTCCACACCAGAGACGGTGATCTGCTTGGTGACGTCCCACTCGTCGGCGTGCCACTGCAGGTAACACGCGGACAGGGCAATCTCGTCCGGGCGGGCGTTGGTGATGAGCAGGAGCACGCGGCAGTCGTCAAAGACGGAGCGGCAGATGATCGGCTCCGTCAGGGAGAAGGACAGCGTCACGTCCTCGCCCTCGTCGATGATCTTGGACACGGGCGTCACGATGAGCCGCGGCTCGGGCACGGGCGCTGTCCGCAGGACAAGTGGGCGTGGACAGTTGTGTTGGCGGGAGAAGGGGGAAGAGGGGACACGTGCAACATGCGGCGTGAGAATACGGGCATGATGCATAGGCAGCGAGGACAGCAATGATGGAGGTCGGAGTGACATTTGATCAGCGTTCCAACAACTTGACCACCATGGCCCAAAACGCTGACCACCACGCCGTATGCACACGTCACATCACGCCACGTTTTGAGTGCACCACAAACAAACAAACAAACACAACAACAGCAACAAAAGTACGCAGTCTCACGCAGATCAAACGCCAACATTTGCAGCACTCACACACTCACACACAAACGCATACACTCATACACCACTTGTGTCACATCTCCAGTACCCACCAGCGCTGACGCATGTCAACAGCAAGAAGAAGCCAGCCACAACGGTGGCGGCGCACACGCCTCCTGGTGCGCGCATCGTTTGTTGTCTTGTGGCGGAGAGCAACAACAAACAAGCAGCAACAAAAATGCAGGTGTTGTTTTCCCAGGCGCGAAAGTCATTGTAAAATTTCAACAAACTTTCTAATGCGATAATGCGACATCTTAAAATGTAGTCCAATATGAAGAGCGAGCGACAACAACCGACCGAGCAAGAGCGCTCTCGCTCACACACACGCGCACACAGACACACAGACACACAGACACACATGCTCACAGACACACAGACACACAGACACACACACACACACATCGCCCCTCTCATTCCTCATCCCCATCGCCTGCATCGTCTGCATCATCGTCTGCGTCGTCGTGGTCTGTGTCCATGGTGAAGCTGCCAATGTCGAGCGGTGGCGGGCGCGCCTCGCCGCTGCGGATGCGTTGCAGGAACATCTCCTGCGCCTTCTTGAAGTTGTCTGCAAAAGTGGCTGACGCAGCCTCCTGCTGTTTCGATCGGTCTGCGATGGCAGTCGTGTCAATCTCCGGGTCCCCCTTGAACGCGCTCTTCCACCACATGACAATGCCGCTCAGGTCCTTCTTCACCAGGTCCACCTGCAACAGGCGCAGCCCCTCGCCCTCCCATGCTGACGACTGCTTGTTCTGCTGCTCCTGTGGTTTCTGCTGCTGTTGCCCCTCTTTGCTGCGCTGCAGCTTGACGGTGGCGAGGCTCCAATCGAGGTCCTCTGGCTCATCCAAGGGTGCAATGGGCCCAAACAGTGTGCCTTTGTACGCCCATCCATCAGCGCTGGCGTCAAACTCGCCCGTGTCCGAGTCCACATGCACCGTCACGTCCTTGGCGCGGGTGCTCTTGTTCTCCAGGACAAACGAGATGCGCACCGTGTTGCTCGTTTGGGACCAGAAGTAGGCCGGCGTTTCTGCGCCGTTTCGGGTCAGCGTGTCCAGCGTCACGTCCACCACCACATCCCGCCGTTCGCCCAAGCTCTTCACCTCGCCGCCAGTTCCGCTGCTGCTGCCAGCTTGTGATGTGCTCATAGCCCCGCCGTTGCTGGTGAGAGTCTTGGGTGCGGCGATGGCCTTCTGCCCAGTGGCTCCAGTCCCTGACATGGCGCGGCCGCCTGACGTTGATGACGGCGCTGAAGAAGAAGACGAAGACGACGAGTGGACGGTGACGTTCCTGCCGGGGATGGTCACGGACCCAGAAGGCCCAACACGGTACACGGAGGGTTGCGTCCGTGTTGTTGTGCCTTCTTCCTCTTCCTCATCACTGCTCACCTCCAGCTTATCCCACTTGCTGTAGTCCACCATGGTCGTGTGTGTGTGTGTGTGTGTGTGCTGATTTGTGGGGTGTGTGCATTGGCGTTGAACGTTCGTCGAATAATGGAAAAGTTGTCCTATATTTTTCTACAACCGCTACGAACCAACGATGCACCCACCAACAAGAACAGTGAGTCTTTTTGTCTGTGGGCAGTGAGAGTGTGTGTGTGTGTGTGTGTGTGTGTGTGTGTGTGTGTGTGTGTGTGTGTGTGTGTGTGTGTGTGTGTGTGTGTGTGTGTGTGTGTGTGTGTGTGTGCCTGTGTGCCTGTGTGTGTGTGTGCGCGCGTGTGTGTGTGTCCACAGCATGCTCGATTTCTCTCAAGAGCACTGCCTGATCACCGTCATGTCTATGGCCGACTCACCGCTTCATTTCTTGTCCTTGTCACACCTTGCTTGGCTGTTGTGCGCCCAGGTCTTCCTGCTGCACCACGGTCCGGCCGGCTGTGCCACAGCATCGACTCACACCATCGGTATGCCGTGCGCCAGTTTGGGTTGTCCGCGTGGTCAAACAAGGGCATTCACAACGTACCACAGGTCGCTGCCCAGTTAGCATCGCTTTTTTGTTTTGTTGCTGTCTTCACTGTGTTGTCTTCTCATCCGCTCTTCGTCGACAACACGACAGATGTGGGCAGCGATGTCGATGCTTTGAAGCTGGAACAGTCCATTTGGAGCAACTGCATCGAAACTGTGCTCGAGTACTCCCGCATCTCCAGCGACCTTGACCATCCTGCCAGGGTGAGCTCCTACATGCGTACTGTTGTGCGTGAATATGTGCGAGTGTGTGAATGAGTGACCGACTGAGAGAGAGAGAGTGTGTGTGTGTGTGTGAGTGGGCACTCTTGTTTGTGTGTGTGTGTGTGTGAGTGGGCACTCTTGTTTATGTGTGTGTGTGTGTGTGGGTGGGCACTCTTGTGTGTGTGTGTGTGTGTGTGTGTGTGTGTGTGCGTGCGTGTGTGTGTGTGTGTGTGTGTGTGTGCATGTGTGGCGCGGGTCTGCGTAATGTTGTTTTGTGTGCGTATTTGTTTCGGATGGCCAGACCCCGATCCCTCAAAGGCATACTCACCCCTTTCCAATGGCTGTGCACAAAGCCCGCTGCCATCCTGTGCGGCTCCTTGAACCAGGCATTGGGTGGTTTGGAGGGCAGTTCACACGCCGCGCTCAAGGACCACCTGCGCAAAGTGTCGCCTCCCACGCCCTCAACCCCACACAGGCACAACCACGAGCAGTTTCTCAAGGTATGATAGAACCTCTGCTTTGCCATTGGGCACAAAGAAAGCCCTCCCCCCTCCTGTTCGTCTTTGGCACTTGAGCACCATCCGCAATCCACCCTCTACCCCTCGATGGTTGTTGATTTCACGTGTTTACATCCTCATCCATGTGCGCTGTGACATAAGTCGCTCACATATGCACACGCCATTGCCCTTTGCAGTCCGCGTTATCCCGCATTGTGTCCAATGTGACGTCGACATCAGTCACAGCAGCACGCGATGAACAGCAAAGGCATCACTGCCGCGTTGTGTATCTCATTCCCAGCACCCAGTCGCCATCATCCATCAGCCGCATTACCAACAACGTCGGCAGCGTCGTTCGCACATGCCACCTCAAGTACGGCCGTGCGTGTGTGCGTGTGTACACGTGTGCGTGTGTGCTTGTGAATGACGTACAGTGTGCGTGTGTGCGTGTGTGCGTGTGAATGACATACAGTGTGCGTGTGTGCGTGTGTGCGTGTGAATGACGTACAGTGGGTGCGTGTGTGCGTGTGAATGACGTACCGTGGGTGCTAACATGGTGCACCTGACCCCTTTTATCTCTTCCTCCTCCTCGCTCAACTTTGTTTGCTCACAGGGCCAAAGCCATCTTCTTCGACATTGTTGTCGCCGTTGTCTATGCCGGTGAGAGTCGATCATCTTGATAGTTGCGACATGTCATACACACTCGCACACTTGTTTGTGTTCTTTCATCAATCTCCTCCTCCTTGACATTCTGTGATCGGCTTTCACATCATGCGCCTCGTGCCTTGCCCCACCATGCACCATCAACGGCTGGTCGCTGCCCAGGCCATCCCGAGTTGTCACCGCTTCCTCGGCGCATCCACCACGAGGTCCCGTGGTTGATTGATTGTTCTGGATTGACGAGTTTTGTGTCTGCAAGGCACATTTTACTTTACCCTTTGGTTCCTTCTTCTAGTCATCACGACCACAAGCGCCACGACAACGACCACGAACGCCACCACCATCACCAATAACCACCACTTCACACCCCATCTCTCACACGTCTTCTCATCTTCCCTCCCTCCTCCCATGACCCCTTTGTGGTTTGCACAGATGCACGACGCGTACTCCTACTGCCAGCTGCATGTGGATGCAGCCAGCACCATGCCATGGTGTCACGCAATGGTGCGTCGTATGTGTTCGTATGTGTTCGTGCACATGCGTACACGTGCATGGCCGTGTGTTGACATGTCTGTACGCCTGTTGTTCTTTGCTTGCGTGCACACTTCATCCCCACTCACCCACGCACGCATAACTTGCGCTGGTGCTGCATATCCGCCCTCATCCAGGTGCAATACCACCTCAACCTCCGTGAGCTGGTCATCTCCCCATCGAAACCACCACCATCATCGTCATCATCGCCATCATCATCACGACCAGAGCCCATTGCGCGGCTGCTGTGTGCTGGTGGCAACAGTTCTCTCCTGCACCGGCCGTTCTTCCAGCACGCGCGCGCCAAGAGCAACGGCGTTGCTGCTGACATGCAGCGCAACGGAAGCACTGATAACGATGGCTGCAGTGGTCACGGTGGTTATGGACGTGGCGATGATGCAAATGTGATCACAGGCAGATCGCAGGACAAGACGCATGTGAGCAGTGGAGTTCGGGTGAAGGCGGAGGAGACAGAGGATGAGATGCCGGGTGAACAGAGCAGGCAAAAGGGAACAGCAGCAACAGCAACAGCAACAGCAGCAACAGCAGCAACGACAACGCGTGCAGGTGAAGCTGATGGTGATGATGCTGGCGATGATGACGAGCAGCCCGCTAAGCGAGCAAAAGTGCAAACACACATCGAGTCACCAGCAGCAACGGTGGCGGTGCATGCGTCCGTTGCCACTGACGCCGATGATGAGAGCAATTCCATGGCCGGCGACGATGAAGACGACTTGTGTCCAACGCTCCATCTTGTTCTGTCGGCATCTGCCGCCAAATTCAAACCGTCGGCAGTGCTGCCCTGTCTCCGCGTCCTGCCATGCACTCCCATGCACCCCAGCAGCGAAACGGTGCGCGCGCGTGTGTGTATCTCTGTGTCTGTGTGTGCATGTGTCTACTGCATGTGTGTTGTGTGAGTGAGTGTGTGCGTGTGTGTTCTCTGGGCTGTAGATCATGGCTGGCGTGAGTGACATGCCTCGATAGTTCCTCGCACAACTGCTCGTACCCTCGCCATTACGTCTTCATGCATCCTTCACACACACACACACACACACACACACACACACACACACACACACACACACACACACACACACACACACACACACACACACACACACACACACACACACACACACACACACACACGCCCACCCAACAACCGTGTGCCTGCCAGGCGTCTGCGCTGGTTACGGACGTGTACGCGAACCACGCCGTCTACCTGGAACGATCATCATTATCCATATCATCAGCATCGTCGTCGTCGTCGTCGTCGTCGTCGTCGTCGTCGTCGTTGCATTTGTCAGCAGCAGCGGTCAACGGCGGTGATGACGAGAGCAGCAGCGATGTGCGCCCGTCCACGCCGCCGTGCGCCCTCTGCAGTTTCAAGTACGTGGCAGTGAAGGGGGTGGTCGTGAGCGCACGCATGTGAAGCTGTCATTGGCGTTTTGCGGTGAAGTCAATCTGCTTCGACTTACATACACACACACACACACACACACACACACACACACACACACACACACACACACACACACACACACACACACACACACACACACACACACGCAACATGTGTGCACGTACGGCAGGGCTGAAGGGCGCTTGTACTTTTGCGAGCTGTTGACACGGGAGCGCCCCGCCAACACACCAGCGGCTGTATCATCATCGACCCCGCCAGTCCCACCTCTCAACACCGCAGCGTTCTGTGATGTCGTGGACAGGGCTACAGTGTCCCTCACCAAGACAGCCCAGGTATAGTATAGTGTGTGTGTATGTGTGTGGATGTGTTTGTGTGTGTGTGTAACTGCGTCAATGTGATGGCTCTGCATTGCTTTCATTCTGATCTCATGTCGCGTCTCCGCTTCATGACAACAGGGGGCCGGTGCGTTGGGTCGCGCTGCGTCTGTTCTCGATCACCGCACACGCTTCTTCCCGCTCATGCAAGCCAGCACCGCTCTCTTCAACCCGCAGCACGTGCGTGTCTCCGTCCTTCTATGTTCATGCATCTGCATGCGTGTTTGTGCATATGTGTGTGCATGTACGTTGACTGAACCCAGACTTCATTCCAGCGTGCCATCATGGCTGACCCGAACACACCACCAATGGCCAATTGCTCACCAATGCCCATGTCATGACACCGTCAACGTCTAGGCCGCTGCCGCTGGTCTCCTCTCGCCCGTCACCTCGGCCGCCTTTGCTCTCTCCATCCGAGAACGCGACATGAACGCTGCCACACAGGTGCCGCTCGTGTCATAACATTCTTTCCGTCCCCACGCACACACACACACACGCACTCAGTCTCTCTCTTTCTCTCTCTTCCTTTCTCTGTGCGTGTATGTGCTATGAACTGTGACCTATTTGCCCGACGCACTCGCCTGGAGACCGTCTTACCACCTCTCCCATTCCCTTCCCCACCATCAGGCCTTGGACGCGTTTGTTGCGACGCTGCCGACGGCGCCGCCCGCAGAGAAGCAGAGCATGTTGGCGTGTGCACTGGAGCTGCGGAATCTCACCACTGCCATGGCCCCAGCATCCAAGAACCACAAGAAGGTGCTCGTGCCTCTGCACGTATTCATGCGCATACACGAGGGCACATGGTTTTGTGTGTGTGTGTGTATGTGTGTGTGTGTGCGTGTGCTTGTGCTTGTGGATATGTGTGATGATCGCATGCGTCCACGAAGCCCCTCCGCTTGCAATAGGGCACGTATGCATATGACGACCAATTGTGCACACGTGCAAGGCGTTCATAGCGTTTGTATGTTGTGTTCCTCTTTCCAGTTCTTGCAAGCACTCACACACACACTCACACACTCACACACTCACACACATACACTTACGCGTTTCATTGTCTTTTGGCTCCAAACCAGCTTGCATCGAGCGTGCGGACCAAGCTCAAGCCCCATCTCGCGGAAGCACTGTCATCATCAGTGGTACCACGACCACCACCACCATTGGGAGCAGCAGGGCCGCCGCCAGCGATAGCGACAGCGACCGTCACGCCTGGTGCATCGGCCCTGGCGAGTCAGGTTGTCTCGGCCACGTCCTCGCCACGACCCGTGCCAACAGGCATGCAGGGGCTCGAGACGCCAGAGCACGTGTTGGAGGAGGTGCCGCTTGCACCGCCAAACCAAGCGCAAGCACCGGCCGCAACACGCGTGGCAGCAGCAGCGGCGGCGGCGGTGGTGCCAGACACGGAGCGCTCTGCCAGCGAACAGCAAGGCCGCCAGGGTGAAGTGGTCGTGGCGAAGGAAAAGGGCACAGAAGCAGGCCGTGACAAGCAGGCACAGCCACGCGCCCAGCGAAAGGCAGAAGCCACTCGAACATCTGCGACAAAACCCGACAGATCACAGCAGCCTCTACAGCAACAAACGCCAACAGCTGCCCCTGCAGCCAGCGCCGAACCAGCCAAGGCCACCCCTCAAAAGCAGCAGCAGGCGTCGAAGGAGCGTGAGAGCCCTGCCCCTGTTCGCCGTCGTGGCCGGGGGCGGACCAGTGGGCGCGCGTCATCGCAGGCATCGGCACACGCGTCGCCGTCATCATCACGCAACAGCACGCCCGTGCCCGGCGCTACTGCTGGTGGCGGCACCAAGCGGCGCAAGCCCAAGACGAGCAAGCGATCGAAGAAGACCAAGGAATCGCCCTCACCCGTCCAGCAGCAGCAACAGCAGCCGGCCCAGGCCCCACAAGCAACATCGCCGCAGCAACCGCAGCAGCAGCCGCAAACTCAGCAGCAACAGCAGCAGCGTGCAACGAGTGTTGCATCACCATCGCCGTCATCGTTTGGGTTTGTCGGCCTACCACCACCCTCGATCATGCCTGATGGAAGCCCTGCCCCTTATCCCGCAGCCATGATGCAAGGCAGTGGTGGCCTGCCCATTTCGGCTGCGCAGCTGTCGCAGCTGATGGCTGTGAACCCACAGGTTGCACAGCTCCTGCATCAGCAGCAGCTGCTTCACCTGCATCAGCAGCAGCAGCAGCAACAAGCGGACGAGAAGCAGCAGCAGCAACAACAACTGCAGCAACAACAACTGCAGCACCAGCAACAGCAACTGTTGCAGCAGCTACACGAGGCACAGCTTGCACAGCAAGCGGAGTTCTTGAAGCAACAACAACAACAGCACCAGCACCAGCAGCACCAGCCACAAATGATGCCTGGCATGTACATACCATATGGGATGGGGAGCGTTCTTCCCGCGTCCTCCACGACTGGCGTCAGCACCTCTGGTGGGCGGTTGCCGCAAACGACCATCCCTGGCAGCGGCATTGCTCCGCCCATATTCAGCCCGCAGCTTGGGCTGCAGCCGAGTCAGCTGATGCAGGCCAGTGCCCAGGGCATGCTGCAACCCATGCTGTACCAGCAGCAGCTGTTTCAACAGCAGCAGCAACAACAGCAGCAGCATTTTGTTCCGTCGTCAAGCATGCCTGGTGGCGTCAGTGTGGCGTCTATACCGCCCTCACTCACCCCTGCGCAGGTCCAAATGCTCCAGCAGTACCAACAACAGCAACAACAACAGCAGCAGCAACAACAACAGCAGCAGCAACAGCAGCAGCAGCAGCAGCGGCCCTCTCAGTGAGGAACTGCGAAGATGGGGCGTGGCGACACGGTGCATGTGCGTGTGTCTGCATGTGCTGCTAATGATGTCATTTGCTTTCCCGCTCTTTGTTTGTTGTGCACTTGCATGGTGTGTGTTCTTTACTGTAGCGCTGTAACTGGCGAGCAACAAACTAGTGCAACACAAGATAACAAACGCGCGTTGTTAGCAACAAGCACTCATACGCTCCCAGACAAGACAAAAAACTGAAGGGGGGCGGTGGTGCTGATAACATTCCCTGCACGCAAACTCAATTCACTGTGCTCTCGCGCAGCCTGTCAATCTTGCGGACAGCAACACATGCAAATGACACATCGCGCATGCCAAGGTTCGCCAGCTGCTGCGGTGTGAGTGACAGCAGCTGCTTGCCATCGAGCTGGTGTCGCTTTGTAAATGGCACGAGCAAGCCCAGCCCATTTCCTTGCAGCCACTTGCACACGTCGCTGTTCGTCCACAACGCCACACCGCCCTTGTCGCTCTGCGGTTGTGCTTGTGCTGTTGCTGTTGCTGTTAACTGCGACGACGGTGGCGGTGGCTTTTCCACTGTCGAGGCTGTTGGGGCGACCTCTGCATCGATATCTGGATGCGCTTTCTGCTTTTCCTGCGGCTCCTGTCTCTCCTTCCCCTTGTCGCCATCCAGTGATGTATCAACACCCACTGCCTCCGCTGCAATACGAGCGCCAGTGGTATCGTCAGCACGCGCCGTCGGCTGCGCCAGCGCCAGGCCCTGGTCTGTGTCTGCGGAGAGGTTGAGGACCTCGTGCATGAGGTCCTCCTCCACAGCCTGTAAGTGCTGCAGCTGCTGCCGCACCTCCTCCAGCGCGCTCTGCGTTGTCTTCAGCCGCAGGTTCACGGGCTCCGACGACGTGATGTGGGCTGTGAAGGGGGAAGGGTGAAGACCGAAGGGGGGGGGGCACGAATGAGACACCGAAGAGATACACGCACTCGCACAGCATAATTGTGCGTAGAACGTGACAGAGGCAAACCAACAGACGCACAGACAGACAGACAGACAGACAGACAGACAGACAGACAGACAGACAGACATAGACACAGACACAGACAGACACACACACACACACAGACACACCTCTGCCGTTGATGTTGACGAGGTCCATGTTAAAGAGCGCGGGCTGTTCGAGCAGCGACGAAAACACAGAGGAGGACACGCGACGCCGCAGTCGTGGGGATGTGTGCGGGGAGCGCTTGGGAAGCAGCAGCAGCCGTGCCATCCCACCTCGGTGGTCGTCGTTAAGCGCCTGCTCAAAGTCGTTGCGGGAGATGAGGTGTTGGCTCATCGTGTCGACCTGAGAAGCGACGATGCCGCCACCAAACCACGGCAGGAGCTGGTGGTCCTCCGTGCGAACAATATCAACATGCGACGCAACGCCTGCTCCAGGATTGAGAGGAGTGTGGCGGAATGTGTGCGTGTGTGCGCGTGTTGTTAGGGGAAGGGAGAAGGTTGAGCACAGAGCGAACGGGCAGCGTGTGAGCGAAAGGCGGTGTAACATCCAACCAACAACCAACACACACACACGATCAAACAATCAAACAACCACCACCAGCAGCAGCAGCAGCAGCACCAACAACAACAACAACAACAACAACAACAACAACAACAACAACAACAACAACAACAACAACAACAACAACAACAACAACAACAACAACAACAACAAACAACGACAACAACAAACAACGACAACAACAACAGCAACAAAAACAAAAACAGCAGCAGCAGCAGCAGTAGTATTTACCGAGGCACTGCAGCTCCATGAACAGGCGCCGCTTAAAGTTCTGCGCGTGTGTCGTGCCGCCGCTCAGGACAATGTTGGCTGCCAGCTCCTCCTGAAACTGTGCTGGTGCGCGATCAAGGCAACGCTTGACAATGGCCGGGAGCGCAGCGGCGTCGTCGCTTTGGAACAGCGGTTCATAGCATCGGAACCGCTCAGCGCCCAGGGCAAGCGTGCTGCCGTTGGGGAGGGTGTACGTCTCCTCCAGCGCTGCGCTCTGGCCGCACGACTGCAGGTCGCCCTGGTAGTCGACAGAGACAAAACAGCACTGCTGCTTGATGTCGTCCACAATCACGCGTGTCTTGTAGCTGACAATGTTGGCTGCCAGCTCCTCCTGAAACTGTGCTGGTGCGCGATCAAGGCAACGCTTGACAATGGCCGGGAGCGCAGCGGCGTCGTCGCTTTGGAACAGCGGTTCATAGCATCGGAACCGCTCAGCGCCCAGGGCAAGCGTGCTGCCGTTGGGGAGGGTGTACGTCTCCTCCAGCGCTGCGCTCTGGCCGCACGACTGCAGGTCGCCCTGGTAGTCGACAGAGACAAAACAGCACTGCTGCTTGATGTCGTCCACAATCACGCGTGTCTTGTAGCTGTCAAATGGCTCCTCTGTGCATTCCTCAAACACCTGCGCCTGGTACCGCAGCTCATCCTCCAGCACCGTCGTTACATATCCGCCAGCGCGCGTGCTTGTCTCTGCCGCGTACAGCAGCGGCTCTGGTAGACTCGCAGCCCCCTCGCTGCTGCGGACAACAGGCACCACCTGTGTGTACGTTTCGCCCACGTGCACAACCAGCGCGCAGCGGCGCTCAGAGCCGAGCGAGGAGAGGAATGCCTGGTCTGCAAAGGTCACGCCGACGACGTTGGTGGCGGCGAGGCTGAACAGCAGATCAGCAAACATGTACCGCGACGCCAGCACGCTGGAGATGCTGCCAACAACGTGGTCCAGAACAAGGAACGAGCAGTGGGAGTTGCTTGGCACAAGCTGAGGAGTGTGTGTGTGTGTGTGTGTGTGTGTGTGTGTGTGTGTGTGTGT